CAATAGTAACAAATAACAATAGCTATAACAAAACAAGTGAAGAATAAGAATGACTATTCCAGAAAACTAGCTACTGTTCATTTTGACTCAAAAATTTATAGTTACAGTCTATCCAACACGATCTCTACTGAACTAAGAATAGGGTGTTAGAAACTACCTGTAACAAATTCAGCTCAATCCAACAACGATGAATCGAAATGCAAATTGAAGCTAACTGATAGCGCATGCTGCAGCAAAAAGGAATTTTCTCATCTGATCTTCCCTCTCTTTTCAAAACGGCCGGCCCTCTCTATTCTTGTAAAACAATCATATCGAACATAAATAGATATTTAAAATAATTTATAACATAAGTGAGCCATAAAAAGATAGGTTTGATCCAAAGAACTTATTATTTTCATCCGTATGGGATGAGAAAATTAAATATCAGACATGAGTTTCACTTTTGCAAATAACTGAAACAACTATTCCATATATAAAGCGAAAGGAACAAAAGCTGTAAAATAAAAGAAAGAAGATAAAAGCGGTAAAAGAAGACAAAGAGAAAAAGAGAAGAAAGAAAACGTGGAAAATTTTTGCGGCAGCCTCTCTCACCCCACCAAGTCAAAGTTGGCGGGCTGCAAATGTGAAAGAAGATTTTGGCGCGCAATTTGCGGTGCCATCTTCTTCGTATTCACATCTGCTGAAAATTTTCTTTAGCAAACGCACCTATAAATAGACATCCCTTCCTCAATTGTAAATTATCCCTCAACCTCTTCTTTCTCCTCAATTAATAAAGAGCTATTCTTTGTGTGGCCGTGGAGTACACAAAAATTGCCGAACCACATAAATCTTGTCTTGTGCAATTTATTGCTTTTCTCTTTTAAATATTTTTTCCTTCTATTAGGCTGACACGCTTCCCAACAACTGGTATCAGAGCACAGACAATGTAATTCTGGTAGAAAAGTATGGTATTTGTGCAGGTACTCTTCACAAGAATAGTGCGACACTATTGATCATTATTACTAACACTATTCACAATAGTGAAGTACTATTCGTTAATAGTGATAGTATTGTTCACCAATAGTGATTGTTGTCTACCTATACGGTTGGGTTATTTTTTCTTACACGGAATAGTATTCGCCGTTACTATTCACAGGCACTATTCACATAAATTTTTTTTGTGTGTGTGAAAAACGGCATCAGAAGAAGGGAAGGTTAAGATTGACAAGTTCAATGGCAAAGATTTTGGATTCTGGAAAATACAAATAGAGGATTATTTGTACCAGAAAAAATTACACTTACCTCTGACCGAGATAAAACCAGAGAAGATGGCCAAGTGGATTGGGATCTATTAGATCGTCAAGCTCTTGGTGTGATTCGTTTGACGCTAACACGAAATGTGGCGTTTAACATCATTAATGAGATGACCAAGCATTATCAAATACGAGAAGCCATCTACTTCAAATAAAATCTATTTGATGCGTCGATTGTTCAACTTAAAGATGACACCAGGTGGATCTGTGACGGAACATATCAATGAGTTTAATATAATATTAACTCAGTTGAGTTCTGTTAATATAACATTTAATGACGAAGTCAGGGCATTGATTCTACTATCATCTCTAATGGAGAGTTGGTCTGCAACGGTAACTGCAGTTAGCAGTTCATCGGGAAATACCAAACTCAAATTGAATGATATTAGAGACTTGGTTCTAAGCGAAGATATTGCCGAAGAGAATCAATTGATTCCCTAGGATCTGCTTTTAATACCGAAAGCAGGGGGAGAAGCAACCAAAGAGGACAAAGTCATGGTCGTGGCAGATCAAAGTCAAGGAGAAGAGGGCAATTCAAAAATCGCAAGGACATTACTTGTTGGAATTGCGATAAAAAGGGTCACTACAGTAGTCAATGTAGAGAACCAAAGAAGAAGAAGGAAGAAAATTTAGCAAATGTAATTGCTGAACAAGTCGGTGATGCACTAATTTGTTGTGCAGACAGTCCAGTCGAATCTTGGATTCTAGACTCAGGTGCATCCTTTCACTCTACATCATGCAAAGAATTATTGCATAATTATATTGCTGGAAAATTCGGGAAGGTTTATCTAGCAGACGGCGAACCTCTGGACATTGTCGGGAAAGATGAAGTTCATATAAAGACTTCACAAGGCACGCTATGGAAATTACAAAATGTCCGACATGTTCCTAGCCTCAAGAAAAATCTGATATCTATGGGTCAGATTGACAGTGAAGGATATACAACAACATTCGATAACGGATCGTGGAAGATAACCAAAGGAAATTTGGTTGTGGCACGAGGCTTCAAAAAGGAAACACTGTATGCAACTGCAATACATAGATATACTATAGCAACAGTTGATCATGGTCGTGATACGACATTCTGGCACCGGAGGCTCGGGCATATGACTGAGAAAGGAATGAAGTTGTTGGCATCTAAAGAAAAGTTGCCAAACCTAAATCATGTTGAATTAGGGTTGTGCGAAGATTACATTTACGGGAAATAAAAGAGAGTTAGTTTCTCAAAGGCGGAAGGACACCAAAGAAAGAGAAACTGGAACTAGTGCATACAAATGTTTGGGGATCGACTCTTGCAACTTCTTTGGGAGGCACACGCTATTATGTCACCTTCATTGATGATTCCACAAGAAAGGTATGAGTTTATTTTCTGAAAAATAAATCTGAAACAGTTGAGTTAGAAGAAATCTTAGAAAATGAAGTGGCTAGAGGGATTACAACTGATTAGGAAATTGAAGATGAAGAACCAGAAGCCGGATCTGGATCAGAACTAAAACCGAAACCAGAGATAGAATCAGATGCAGAACCAAATCTGGAATCAGGACTTGAATCAAATTCGGGATCAGTTACTCTTGAGCATACATTAAGGAGATTTAAAAGAGTCATGAAAGCTCCAGATAGGTTAACTCTCTCTCTCCACTATTTACTTCTGACTGATGCTGGAGAACCAGAACATTTTGTTGAAGCAATGCAGGTGATAAACTCTGATAAGTGGAAGCTAGCCATGAAAGAAGAGATGAATTCTCTTCAAAAGAATAAAACATGGATACTTACAGAGTTACCAAAAGGAAAGAAGGCATTGTAGAACAAGTGGGTGTATAGAGTCAAGGAAGAGCATGATGGTAAGAAGAGATACAAAGCACGATTAGTAGTAAAAGGCTTTCAGCAGAAGGAAGGAATTAACTACATCGAGATCTTCTCTCCTGTAGTCAAATTAACTACTATCAGGTTGGTGCTAAGTATCGCAGCTGCAGAAAATTTGCATTTGGAGCAGCTAGATGTTAAAACTGCTTTTGCATGGTGACCTTGAAGAAGACATCTACATGAACCAACCTGAAGGTTTTCAAGTTTCTGGTAAAGAAAACATTGTGCGTAAGTTGAAGAAGACTTTGTATGGTTTAAAACAAGCTCCCTGACAATGGTACAAGAAATTTGATGAATTCATGCATAACAATGGTTTCACCCGCGATGTGAGATGGACCATTGTTGTTATATCAAAAATCTTGATGAATCCTATATCACTTTACTGTTGTACGTTGATGATATGCTAATTGCAGGATCTAGCATAAAAGAGATCAACATGGTTAAGCAACAACTGGCGGAGGAGATTGAAATGAAAGACTTAGGACCAGCTAAGCAGATGCTTGGGATGAGGATTAGCAGAAAGAGATCCGAAGGAACCTTAAAATTATCTCAAGAAAAGTATATACAGAAGGTACTAAGCAGGTTCAGTCTTTATGATGCAAAGACCAGAAACACTCCACTCGGATAGCCAGAGTGCAATTCATCTTGCCAAGAATCCAGTATTTCATGCAAGATCCAATCACATCCCGTTAAGGTATCATTTTATCCGAGAGTTGATAAGTGAATGACCTCTTTCACTACAGAACATACCAGGATCGAATAATTCGTCAGACATGTTGACCAAAGTTATCGGTGTTGACAAACTGAGGTTGTGCATCGCCTCAGTTAGCCTTCAAGATTGATAATGTGAAGGCGCCGCCAGAGAATAGCAAATCTTTTATTTTTAAATTTTCTTTCTTGCTGTATATGGATTTGAGGGGGAGATTGAAAGGAACAAACCCAGCTGTAAAATAAAAGAAAGAAGACAAAAGCTGTAAAAGAAGACAAAGAGAAAAAGAGAAGAAAGAAAACGTGAAATTTTTTTGCGGCAGCCTCTCTCACCCCACCAAGTCAAAGTTGGCAGGCTGCAAATGTGAAAGAAACTTTCAGCGCGCAATTTGCGGTGCCATCTTCTTTTCGTTGAAAATTTTCTTTCAGCAGACGCTCTGCCTATAAATAGGCATCCCCTTCCTCAATTTTAAATTATCCCTCGACTTCTTCTTTCTCTTCAATCAATAAAGAACTATTCTTTGTGTTGCCGTGGAGTAGACAAAAATTGCCGAATCACGTAAATCTTGTTTTGTGCAATTTATTACTTTTCTCTTTTAAATATTTTTCCCTTCTATTAGCCTGACACGCTTCCCAACATAAATAACCAAAACCAAACAAAACAAAAAAAGAGAAGTAAGAAATATAGAAGAGAGAACATTCACATACTGAAAGTGCACCACTTCGTTAGTGCTCCATGTGAAAGACAATCATTTTGAGTCTATGTCCAAAGATAGTGTACTATTTGCTTTTTTTATTTATTTATAACTGTGGTATCCCAACTAGCTTGTGTGCACCTGACTAATTCCACGGGATACCTGCCACCTACCACCAGCAACATATACCAAGTAATTCTATCAACTAAGACTTTGATAGATTGAAGAAATCCCCTAGTGTTTTTTGCCCCCACTGGGATTTAACCCTGAGACTTCACCCACTTCATTGACCACTAGACCACACCCGTAGGAGCTATTTTTGCCTTTTTCTCTTATATGTTCCACTTGTAATGTAAAGTCTTTTTCTTCTTTATTGTTTGTGGAGAACTGGGGTTTCCAGTACTTTTGCCATTATAATATATGATTCTACCAAAGAAGGTATGCAGTAGTATCAGTATATACGAAGATGCAGATTACCACCATGTGGCCATTTTTTATTCTTCTTATTGGCCTGCTTCTTAAAGAAACAACACAAGTTTCAGCTATAAGAATAAGATCACTATCAGCAATATTATCTTCATCAAAGCCTGGCTGCCCAGAAAAATGCGGCAACTTAACCATTCCTTATCCATTTGGGATAGGAAAAGGGTGTTACTTCAATGAGCCATTTGAAGTGAGGTGCAATAACAACACTGCTTTTAGTCATGGTCTTTATTATAGATCTGTGAAACACATATCCATGGACACCATCACGGTTGTTGTTCCTTCCATTCCTTATCCCTACAACAAATCATCGGGAAAGAACATTTACGGTGATGAATACACCACGGGAAAATCCATCGGCGAGCATTTCAGTGTTTCCATCAAGAATAATTTAGTAGCCATTGGGTGTGATATTTATGCTTATATCAAAGATTTAGACAACAGTAGTAGACGTCAAGACAATATTGTAAGTGGACGTGCTTCTTTCTGCGATAGTGGTGGAGCTAATGGTAATTTAACGATTTGTACGAATTTCTTTCGTCAGAAAATTATACCGTGCAAGTAGGGTAAAATTATACTTTTTTGGGTATATGTATTATAAATTGTTGAATTTCCTTAACATAACGGAATTATCTAATGTAGTGGCAAAAGTGGTTCAAAAAGTGTTTTTACGTCACAGGTTCACTGCTCTATGACTCCAATAATGCTCTATCTTCAGCTTCATCATCTTATTGCACTGGGAATAATGGTTGTTGTCAGTCTGCTTTTTCAAGAATGCCAAGAATTCCCTTTGCCTCCATACAAACAATGAACACGGAGAAAACATCATGGGCATCTAGCAATTGCACCTATTTCTTAGTTGTGGAGAAAGGCATTTCTGAATCTGAATTCACTCAATTACTTGGTAAGTGCAAAAAAGATGATTATTATAAAGGCAGGCTGGCGGTGAACTGGGTAATTGGCAATGTTAGTTGCGACAATGCCACCAGAACGCCAAAATATGCATGCGGAATGAACAGTAGGTGCGTTGATGACACTACTAGACCTACTGAGGGATATCGGTGCAATTGCTCTCCTGGTTATCAAGGCAACCCTTACCTCCCTAATGGATGCCAAGGTACTAATTCCCCTGTCCATCTTTTTCTGGATCTAACTTATATATTACCCCCTCAATTTTAATTTATGTGTCTTTCTTTTTAATCTATTTCAAAGAGAACGTCACATTTCTATCTGAGATAGATCCATGATATGAACTTTATGGGTTCGAATTTAAGATTCTACAGCATGTCATCTAGTTTACTGGGTCTGAGATTTATTATTTGTATTCATTTAGTGCGCTTTTCACACAAACAGGTTCTAAGCCAAAGCTACCAGGTTTAGACAAACTCGTAACTTAGTAACTAGATCCTGGTTTCTTATGTTTAGCAATGTTTTTACTTCCAGTATTCATATTTATAACCCTTAATAACACTCATTTATAGGAATGAAATAGAATGTGTAAGACCACAAGATTCAAGGGATACTTTGGCATGATATATACACCTTTTGTTTAAAACAACAACATTCAAAAGTATTCCTTATACTTTTAAACTTCTTGGTCAATCAAACTAAGACACATAAAATGACACAAAGTATTGTTTTAGCAGGTAACATGTCGTATTTTTCAGGTAACTAATCTCACTCAAAATGGATAATTACTTGTAGTTATCTTTTAGGTGACCTAATAATGTAAAAAGTTCTACACTGTCAGTGTACAGAAGTTAAACTCTTTTTTATTTCAATAATTGAAAGAAACATAAAACTACTACCAAGGCTTGTAGTCCAATGGTACCAGTGAGAATTTATCATAAAATAGATGAGGGTTCTATTCTCACTATCGTCTTACCTCCTTCCCCTTCCCTTATCCCCTTGTGTAAAAACAAGCATAAAATTAGACCATTGATCAAGCTTGTTGATAACGAGATCAAAGAACTTTGAGCCATTCATTGTGTTGTATCTTTTTCTTATTTTTCTTTGATTTGATGTTAATTTCCACAGACATCAACGAGTGTGCAAGTCAAAAAGGGAAGCATTCATGTCCCAATGATGCTCGCTGCATAAATACTCCTGGCAGTTTCCTGACCCAAATGATGTGAAACATATGCTGACTACACAACTCTTCTTAGGTATTGTATAACTCTCTTCTTTGTCCTATTTCTTTTGTTCTCATTTTTCTTTTTGTTAAGTAAATTATGCTTTCCGTAACTTTTTGTTTGAGGCATATTACTCCTTGAACTGCCAAATAGATTCGTTATCCTTTTCATGTTATACCTGACTAAGAACTTTATACTAACATTTATTCTAGCTAACTGCTCTTTAAGAATATTAGAAGCTCAGTTATCTTAATCTAAGTTTTAAAATTACAAAAGGGCCTGGAAAATTATGGAAAATAGGAGGAGCACCAGTTCAGGGTGTTCTAAAAATGGAGTTATGTTTCTTTTGTATGAAATTGGTTTTCTCACAAGCAGGTGTTGTAGCAGCAGTTACTTTTGTAATCTTGATAGCAGTTTGTCTTTGGCTACGCAAAAGGCTTCAGAAGAGGGAAGAAAAGAAAGCTAAACAAAAGTTTTTCAAGAGGAACGGTGGATTGCTTTTGCGACAACGTATTCCCTTTAGTGAAGAAAGTAGTGGTGGCTCTTTGTTAAAGCTCTTTTTCAAAGAGGAGTTAGAGAAAGCAACAAACAATTTCAGTGAAAGTCGAATTCTCGGAAAAGGAGGGGCTGGTGCTGTCTACAAAGGAATGTTATCAGATGGAAGCATTGTAGCTGTGAAGAAGTCCAATAAAATGGATGAAGATCAAATTGAACAGTTTATAAATGAGATACTTATTCTCTCCCAGATAAATCACAGACACATTGTCAAGGTACTGCTTTAAGATTTAAACTAGGCTCTTGCTACGAATTATGGAAGAAGAGAATAACAATATGCAAAGGATAAAAAATTTATAAGGCACAAGGAGGCTGGAAAATGGAGAGATAAACGTAAAACACACTAATAATATTGGAAATACAACACTCTAACAAAACAACACACTAGACTTGACCTATATATAGCTACTACAACAACTTTTAAACACCTATTTACATAAACTATTTTTAATGAACAATCTATAATTACTCAATAGACAGACTTTAAACACGTAGGATAACTCAAAAGACAAATGAACCCAGCATTTAATCACACTTTTACTCCCCCTGTTCCATTTTTTTGTGGCACTATTTCCTTATTAGTTTGTTAAAAAAGGAATGATATCTTTCTATATTTGAAAATCTAAGTTAAAGTTCTCATTTTACCTTAATAGCATGCCTTTATAACTACATAAATCTCATGGCATGTTTAAGACAGTAGATTCCAAAAGTCTTTCTTTTGTTATTAAACTGTGTCCAAACAAAATACGCCACATAAATTAAAAAGGAGAGAGTAATATTTAAATTTATTATTTCTGACAGGTACTTGGCTGTTGTTTAGAAATTGAAGTTCCTTTATTGGTTTATGAATACATCTCTAATGGAACCTTGTCATCCCATATTCATGGAAACCTTAGTCACAATTCTGATCCTACTGTCTCAAAACCATCAACAATAATACTATCGTGGGACCATCGCTTGCGAATTGCTGCGGAAGTAGCATGGGCCCTTTCTTACATGCACTCATGTGCTTCTACTCCCATTCTTCACAGAGATATCAAATCAAGCAACATATTATTAGACGATACTTTTAGAGCAGTGGTTTCTGATTTTGGACTTTCGAGATTATTGTCCGTTGACAAGACTCATTTAACAACACTAGTAGGGGGTACATTTGGTTACATGGATCCACAATATTTTCGATCTGGTCAACTTAATGACAAATGTGATGTCTATGCATTTGGTGTAGTTCTTGCAGAGCTTCTGACAAGCCAAAAAGTTGTCTCTTCAAACATAATAGAAGATCCAGGTTTGGTCAAACGCTTTACATTATTATTGAAACAAAATCTCATTTTTGAGATTATAGACACTGAAATTATAAAAGACCTTGAGGATGAAAAAGTGATTCTTGCTGTGGCTAAGCTTGCCAGGAGATGCTTAAATTATAATGCACGGAGAAGGCCAGGCATGAAGGAGGTGGCAGCTGAGCTTGATCAACTAAGAAAAAGGGGGCAAGATATACCTCATGATGAGTGTTTTCAAGATAACATTTCTCCAAGAAGTGAAAGTTCATATAGTTGTAAATCTGATTGTACAGAAGAAGATAATCAGAACTTAGTGTCTCATGATTAACTGAACTAGCTACTTTAATAGAAACGAAAGAAGGTTGCTTGAAATGGTTTGCCTGCGTCGACCTCCAGATGCACCGGTACATAGGTACGAAAGCATGGTGAGTGATGGTGCTAAAAGGGGGACGACGTAGACCTAAAATCACATGGAAGAAAATGGTTTGGAAATACCTATAATTTCTTGGAATCCATGCAAACTAAAGATAGGGCACAATGGAAGAAAAAATTTATATAGGTGATATCAACTAAGTAGGAATATATTTGTCATGTTAGCACATTTATGTATGTATTAACAAGTGTAATCGTTTTATGAAATGATTATTAGGTGATAATACTGAGGAAGCTCCGTACTAATATGTAGGTGAAGGATTCTAGAAACTAACTTGTCGACGGACGACAAGAAGAATTAGGATTTTGACTGCATATGGGGTTTCAGAAGTAGAAGCTTATGTAGGTGTTTTTCCACCGCTTGAACGCTAAGGGTGTGGAAGTTTAAGACTAGCTAGTATATACTGTCCCACATAATTTGTTAATATGGTTTTTTGGTTTATTATCTTCTGCCCTTTTAACTCTGCCTATACATAGAGTATAACCAGTGTCAATTCAGCTTACCTTAAGATATAATAAATTGTACGCGAAAGGATACAGATAGTTCATGTATCCGATCTCAACTAGTTTGAGACTGACGTGTAATTGATTTCTGATTCATTACAAATTGTTATGAAGTCAGAGAACTATTATATATCTGTACTACCCCAACTCTTAAACATATATTATAGTGTTAAGTGATTATGAATTTAGATGTTTATGTTCTACATGGAGATCATGTTGAGGTTTAGCCGTAGAACAAGGGTCCATTTCAGATTTCAGACAATGGCAGTGTATACTCGAAGTTTCGGTTAACCCGAAACAGCTAAAGGATAGATATTCTCAATTGGACAATGAACAACTCAAATACGGTCCAAAGAAAGTGCAATCCTGTAGTCAAAGTGAGCTATTTTAACCATCTTGAATCAATATGACAGGGGAAAAATACTTCACAGAGCTAAATAATTCATTCAGGCACTTAAGCAAACACCTTATGGCAACCATTTTTCTTTGGACAACCATAGTGAGCTGAACCCCCCCCCCCCCCCCCCCAAACCCAAAGCCAATTGGGCTTTCTCGTCAGCAAGTGGCAATGACATCACCCCCAAAACAAAGATTCAGAAATAACCAATATAAAAATCACAATTTCAGACTTCAAGCCACGAAGAATATTCAATTTTAAACTCAGGAAAACTATATAAAAGTGAATGTTGGGATGAAATTACAGAGACAAGTGCGAAGAAATTTCATACCTGGAATTTAGAGATTCAAAATCAAAGGACTGAAGAAAGTTACAGGCTCCGCGAAAATTGTGCTCCTACTTCTGGACTGAAAATCCAACCATTCAAACTAGCTATTGCCAAAATTCTGTGGTTGTCCCGCCAAAACTTCAAATAACGGTTAACTACATAATTCCTTGGTTCGTTTGGTTGGGAAATAAATTATTCCAGAATTAATTATCCGGGATTATGGAATTGTTATTTCACCTTCCCGTATGATTAAAAAACATACTACAATTTCGGGATAACTAATTTACGGATTAATTTATGCTATAATTTTGTTCCAATGAAATTTGGAATAAACTATTTTAAATTTAATCCTGGAATCAGAGGCGGATCTAGGATTTTAATAACATGGGTGCACCACTAAAAAAAGGAGAAAAAAAGAAATATTAAGTGGGATTTGATCACTAATCCTCTAGGTAAATAACTCAACATTCAACCAAGTGCACCATTTAGCCTCTTTGGAGCATGGGTGCCAGCAGATAATACTAGACCAATTTTAAAAAATATGTACATAAAATACATATTTTGACGGAAAGACCATGGGTTCACGTGCCCCATATAAATGCCTACAAATCCGCCTCTGCCTGGAATTAATTGTCTCTTATTCCTCCTACTAAACGAACCCTTAGAATGATAAGATATAATAATTGATTTTACTATAAATCGCTTACTTTCTGTTTCTGGGTACGGAGTTTAAGAAAAAATGAAGACTTTTGGAATTTGTGGTCCTAAACAAGTCAGAAAGGGGCTTGTGTGGTTATAAAAGCTTCTTATTAAGGGTAGAATTGTAAGTTTAAGATAAATTGTTACCAAATTTAGAAATGAGTCATTCTTTTGGAACGGACCAAAAAGAAAATAGGTTCACATAAACTGGAACAGAGGGAGTATCTTTTTTGTTGGAGTTTGTGGACGTTTATAAATTGAGGATCATACAATAATACAAGAGCATCCACATTCCACAATATAGTACTTCCATTTTTTGAGAGTCTTGGTGAGGGGGAGATTTTTCTTTCATATTTTTGTACTCTCTGTTATACTAATAATTTTTTCTGTAAATGTAGGTCAATTGATTAAACCCCATTATAATATTTTCATTTAGTATAATTTTATTTTTTGTTGTCTGATTTATTATTACCAATGTTTGCTTTATTGGCTTTCACCTAGACGTCTTGTTATTTCGATCCAAATGATGCTCGAATTTATTGACCGTTGGGTCATTGGTTATGAGCACATAGAGCTTAGTTGTTTTAATACGCATAATAGTTTTGTAATTTTATTATTATAGTGAGTGAAATTTAATGACCAAGTTTTGCATATTAAGGATTATAATTTTTACCGAAACGTGATACTTTAAGGTTTAATATAGTCCAAACGTAGTACATGGAATTATTTTTGTAAATCTCATGCTAGAGACTTTGAAGTGTTTCAGGTGTATCCCTCACTTGCAGGGGCCACTCGACATACTTGGGGGCCTAAAGCGCATCTACAATTAGAGACCCAAATTTTTTATAATCGATTTTTTTAGTAATTATTTTTCAATTGATAATATAGATGATCGATTTAATCATTCTTGAGACATTATTGATCTTATGTAAGATTTTATTTATTTTTATTTTGAAGAATTTCTTTTCATTGAGGCAATTGTTAGTCATTTGAAAAAGAATCAAGTCTATTTATATAATTAAGTGTATCGATTAGAGTATTATCTGCTACTTGTACAACTTTTCTTAACAGTTTTAATTCTAAATATAAGTCTAAGACATCAATATTTAGATTGACTATTATGCTTTAGTGGTCAGAATGTAAAAATGCAAAATGAAGATTATACAAATTTAAGAAAATCATAAAGATATGTTTACTTTATTCGGGAGGACTATTTCATTCCTCAATAGTTACATCAATTTCAAAATGATAAACTTTTACTATTAAATCCTTACATTTTTTAAAGAAAAAATGAACACATAACATATTTCTTTTAAAACTGAATCCCCTCAAAATGGGGAGCCTAAGACATATGCCTTACTTGCGTAACCCTTCGGCTGGCCCTGCTCACTTGCTTACCAAATAATAAAGAACATACATTAATGGATAGCTAACAAGATATTTTAAGTAAATACTATATACAAGTGCTCAAAATTAATTAAAGAAATGTAAGATAAACAAATGAAGCTATAGCCATGGAAGACCATCCAAAGGAGGTAGTAGTTGATGATGATGAGCTGTTGCTTCTTCGCGCAGCACGAGCTAATGGGATGAATGTGGTAGTTGTGGTTCTACTGCCGCCACCACCAGAACCACTACTAGCCTTGGTTCCGCGACTAACCCCGCCAAAGCTAGCACCACGAGCAGCTGTAGGTGTTAGGACGATGAACATAATGATAGAAAGCACAAGCACAACCTTCATAATGTTCTTCATAATTTTTCTATTCAGATAAGGCTTGTTATATTATCTAGTCGAATTTAACAATATATACTGACAGTGTAAAAAATACTTTGAAAAGCTAGAAATCTTGACACGATATCAAGATTCTCTTTGAGAGTTCTTTGTTCTTGTTATTGTGTTTCTTTGGGTGTAAGAGAAAAGTTTGGATATGAAGAAACAGCAATTATGCTTGTCTATTTATACTGCGGCCTGAACACGGAAAGTCCATAATTGGAATAGCCACCGGTCATTTTCTCATTAAGTAGAAAGGCGCGCAATTTGGTTATATTATGAATAAATAAAAGGCAATTTGGTTAGAGAGGAGCTAGGAATTTTCTTTGACACGGTCTGAAGAATTCGCTGAAGGTCCAACTTGAGGACTAGGAAAAGAATATTTTTCTGTTATATATTACACGTTTTTACAAAAACTCAACACTTAATATTTGTATGGCAATAAAGTCTTTTACACTTACGATTCTAAAAGCTATGAAAATTTCTCATTAAAGATAAAATAAGAGTTTAAAGTTAATTATTTTTAAATATAAAATAGGATCAATCATTTAAAAACGGAGTAATAAGAAAATAGTGCTAATATATTGGGGCGGAGGGAGTATCATACAAAAATTTATTTAAAAATTAAGCGTTGAGAAATTTTATATGACCGGGTTAAAAATAGTCTGAAAATTCGTTCAATAATTAGAAAAATAACGCGTAGACCACTTCCAAACGTTTCAAAATTCGAATTAATGTTTTCCTGCTTATATATTGTTTCTAATTAAGGATATTGTTTTTGACTGGCGTTCTATATTAAAAGTCAATAGTGATGTCGGACGAAGCTTACCCTAATTTTACAAGTGGTCTTTGAAGTATTTTTGTATTGAGTAGTTAGGATGCAATTAAAAATATATAAGATACCAATATAAACATGCCGTTATTCAGAAAGAGTTTAAATATTAGGGATGTCAAATGGACGAGTTGGCTGATTTTGAACGGGTTAAAATGGTTTGAGTTAATAAATGAGATTTTTACCTCCTATAGCAAACGTTACTTCCCTATTTATTTAAAATAAATACCATTTAAATAAATTATATTCTATAGATACCTTATATGGTTTATAGCAAAATTTCTAATTTTGGTTATCTCCTACACTTAAGCAACTATACATGCTATGTTTTATTTTCCTCTCTCCATTCTAAGATTTTTCTCTCTCATAGTTACCGTTTTTCATACAACTTCTCAATACACGTTCACCCTCTCTCTCTATATTGATACAATCTATTTTTCTTTCCAATTCCCTGTAAGCACGCTCAAAATCAGAGAATCCTCCTCACCCACACCGCTGCTTCCTCCTTCCCCAATCTCGGGTAAACCCTAATCTCCTCTAAATTTTACTCATTTGTTTCTATAATTAGTGTGGTAAGTATTTAATTTTTTGATTTTCGCTATTTTTTGCTTATTCTCAACATCTCTATTCACCAAATTTTCTCTAATCAACAGTACCCAAGCATATTCTCACAATGTCTGAGAATACACCTCGCAAGTTGATTACTAGAGGTATACCCACTAAAATTCTCAATTTCGATGGGCCCTCTTTCTCCTTGCAAATCACTCAAGGGGAATTGGATGCAGGTTTAGTGATGATAGGCTATAATTGCATATTTTAGTCGCTTATTACACTCGAATTTACTGCACTTTAATTGAGTTTGCGCTTTAATCGCTAGTGTTTTGCACTAATTGTGTGTTTTATGCCTTGTAGGTGTGATTCCGAGCTATATATATGTTATGGAATGAATTTAAGTGATTTGAAGCTTTGAAGTCTGAGTAAAAGCTCAAGGAATTAAGCCGGGATCGTGTTCGGAGGTCAAATTTGATAATTAAGTACGAACGAAGACTTGAGGAGGCATATTGCGCACTGTCTAGTAAAATAGACATAACTTTTTGCTCAGAAC